TCCTTTAGAGACTGTCAAGAACATTACAATTGACAGTATTAGTATTTGGACCAATCCAATACAGGAAGGACTAAGTTATGTAAAGAGAGTGAGTACAGGATAGTAAGTTAAAAATTTAATTACAAACTCAGCATTCTAATGAATCAATTGAAAAAGTAGATATGTATTTCTGGTAAGTAGTATTCGGTCCGTACTGAAGATTAACGAGTTATAGGAACTATCAACAAGAATACAATCTGTGTACACATGCATTATTTGTCACGAAATCTATAACCAACCAAATCACTACTATATATTTCAACAGACATTTTAAGGATTATCATTGGCAACCGGAAAAATACTAGAGAAAATGAAATGTTATGAGGCGGCCTAAACAAGGTAGCTTTTCGAGGTCAATCTTTTTACCAATGAAGCAAGAAAAGTGAATGGTCTATTACTTAAAATAACTATTGCGTAATTTGTATAACTTCCTATTTACTGTGGGATTACTGTACGAGGTACTATGACCCAACTGGATCTTCCTTCTACTCAAAGAAGTGTGAAATGAAATCATACATGATTTATTTATTTATTTATTTAATGCATATATACAAGTATACAGCAGAAAAAACAAAACATTGTCGAATCAGTGACAAAACAACTTAGGGCGAATCACGATAACGTTCAAATTTGATATTTTTACGCTTGTTCACTTTCTTGAACAAGTATCTTTGCAATTTATACTCAGCTGTCAATTTAGATGGTTCGAACTCTTCCATCCATGCAACGATAGCTGGATTGTTAAGTCGCGAGCATACACGTTGATATTCATTTCGTGCACCTAATACCCATGGAGGTCCAGTATAAAAATCACGTGGTTTTATTTTCCCATCACCTAGAATATCTAAAATAAGAAAATAAACCTACTAGTAACAATGCCATTTAATAAATACGAAAACTAGTATAATCATTTGGAAATACATACGAAGTATTTGATAAGACTGAGTAAAACATACCAGTAATTTTACAGTTTATTGTGATGCAGTGGAGTAATAATTACAAGACGTTAAGTCTTAAAAACAGTCGACTGCAGTTTTAAACTCTACTCCGGTTCGGATAGCTAGCTAATATCATTAATTCCCATGCCCAAAAGGTTGACGTCTGAAGTCTAGTACATAATTACGTACTTGGTAATTGAGTTACTACTTTAGTTAATCAAAATTGTTACATGTGTCGGCTTGTTAATAATGGACTTTTAAAACAAAGTGAAATCACAAAAATGATAGCAGAAATACGAACCACATTGTTGAACATTCAGAAATTAGGCTTATACATCAGTGAGTAACGGAATGGAGCCTAAGTTCATTTGTTGAGATATTAGTAATACGTAAAGTTTTAAGCGAAATGGAGTAAAGTAGATGATAGGGTCCAGGAATTTGTATGCGACAGAGGTTGTGTTACATATGCATAGTCACTGTTCATTCTGTGTGATTCTAGGTAAAGCAGGATTAATCTGTTAAAAAGTTAAGTGTTGTCATACCAAAACATGTCATCAGTCACTGATTGCTTATTCTAGTCGTTTATAGAAATGAAGAATTCTCGATCATGGTTCTCTGGTTGAGGACTAGGATATAGTTTTAAAAAATAAACATCAAAATGATGCAGATATATTCATGCTTTCATTTCCAAATACTGAATATCCTATTAGCCTTAATAATTACTGAGCTCTCAATGTAAGACTCCAGATCTTCTGAAGTGTTATGAAGTTTGACGATTTTGATGAGTTAGTGTGCAGCTTTGATATAACTGTTTGCCTGTGTCAATCCCTCACAATTAAATACATGTACACATTTATACAAGAATAACTGTTCACAAAACATTCGTTAAACGACGTGGATGTTAATATTTCTGTAAAGATTATACACACCACAAAACTAAAAAACGATTGAACGTCACTAGGCGACAAGAAATGACATGATCCTGGGACTTTTTAACGTTTCACCTTAAAAGCATCATAAAATAAGCACAAAACCGTAAGGCTCTGTTAAAGCCTGATCAAAATAAACTTTTTGCGTCTAAATCCAGTATTCAAAATTCGTCGACACCAAACAAGTTATGGTCGATGAGACCATTTTCTGGTATCGCAAGCGAGTATCTCATACTATTGAATCCATAAATTGTAAACTTTTGGTTTAATACCTTCGTCTTCTTGAAAATTTCATTACCTTGAAGATATTTTCAATTTCCATAAAACTAGGTTATACAGATCTGTGTGACAACAGTGACGAATCAGAGTGAAGTTTGTTTTGTTATGAAAATACAAAGAAAATGGTGAGTAGATGCAACAATCTACGTTATATGTAGGAAAAAATGGTAAACATACCAATGTAGTCATTTTGACCAAAATGTGCTCGATGTGGGGACCAAAAGTCTCGTGGTTTATGCTCAGGTAGAACAACTTGTTTGTCAGTAAAATTTAATCTTGGAAGCAGGCCACCATCATACATACGTGGATTATATTGTATATTGAGTGGTTTTGGTTGTACATACGCCTCTGAAGAACTCCCACTGGTCTTACCTGCAATCCGATGATTAGGCACACGTATTAAACTCCTCACTCCTGTTTCAGCCTCGCAATAAGTAGTAGAACATCCTGGTTTTTGATCAGGATTCACACCAAGTTTGTTCCAATGCTTTTGGTTGTTTGATGGATATTTTGAAGAACTGCTTAGAGATATTGAGAATAAGTTGTCGCATTTTCTCACGCAACTTAGAAAACTATCACAACGCGGGAAGCTGTTTGACCAACAAAGGTGAAGTTTTGGAGATATCTGAAACTAAAAAGATAATAATTTAATATTATGTCTAGAATCCAAAGATTACTTGATAAGATGTCAAAATTTAAAATTGATTGAAATATCCCTATAGTCTGAATAGTTGTTTGAAAAGTACGTCATCGTATAAGTGACTTGTACGATGGGGTGAAGTTTAATCCATTCGTATTGCACAAGACAGTGGGCATCTGAGCTCAGTAGCTATGTGATTAATGCGATGGCATTTGAGGCGAACGGTGTTGGGTTCGAGTCCCGGAGTGAAGATCAACTCTGACAGCAGGTTTTTACGGCTGGCGAGTCCCCAGTAGGACGAAAAGCGCCTCCTAGGTTCCATTGTTAGCCACTATTCGTCTCTATTTATAAAAAACGACAGTTTTAAGTTAAATCTAAAGCTTCTTAAAAGACAGAAGTTTGCTGCTCATATATATATAGACAGCTTCGAAGATCCTAACAATCTCAATATAAATTGTCTGCTTTACATGGTAACTACGTAGTACACAATGTCAATTTTTTTATAATACGTAATGTTAGCGGCTACTACTGATCAAATAAGATAACCGACTACCTTCTTCATTTTTCTGACATCTATAAGTAGCTATTATAATGATGAACCAAGTCTACTTCTAGAAATATTATCCTCCACAATAATTGTTCACTTACCAAGTAAATACAAACTTGCACAGATGGGACATTTTACTTATAATAAATATCAGAATGGGTTTTGTGGAGAGTTTTAGAAATTTCACAGGTTGAAATCATGAGTCAGTTGAAGCTAGACCACCATTGAAAACCTGGAAGCACTGGACGGCCGTTTCGTCCTGGTATGGGACTCCTCAGCAGTGCGCATCCACGATCCCGCACCACGCGGGGCTCGAACCCAGGACCTACTGGGTCCCATACCAGGACGAAACGGCCGTCCAGTGCTTCCAGGTTTTCAATGGTGGTCTAGCTTCAACTGACTCATGATTTCAACCTGTGAAATTTATAATAAATGATTACTTAATCCCTATACTAAAAACTTTTTGGTAGCTAAGTTTAGTCTAGTGGTTATTAAGAGGAACTTGAAAAAAAAATCGTCTTACCGGATTTCATGGTTCATTGTGAACTCCAAACTTGGTGAGTAAATGAACCACTTTTGAAGTTTACTTTCCCCACGTAACAACACTTTTGGACGTTTATAAGTGATATTCGGAAATATTCTATATCAGTTAATTTTTATGAGGCGATATTAAGGATATACTAGGATAATTAAAAATGAAGTGTAACCGACGTTATTGCAAAGTAATATTCATAAAAGCCGTAGAACATATTTACTCTATCATAAAAGCCCTGAAAACTTCACTAAGCCTGACTCTGTAATTCTCAGTGTCATATCAAACAGGTCATTATGTGGTCAAGAGTTGAAATATAGTATTTGATCAGTAACACTAGCTATACATCATTACAATTACTTTATGCAGTAAACTAAACTATCCCAACTCCCGACCTTCTAGATCCTACATCTTAAGATTATTTATAAGGTGTTAGAGGCATCAGAAGTTAGTGACAACAATTCGGAGTTAATGAATTCTCTGGAAAAAACTAACAGAAACAAAAAACAACTGGTGGACCACATATCCTAAAAAATAAATTACCACAATTCTAATGGAAAACTGCAACCTGTAATTTTAACCACACTGGGAGTAAAGATACGTTTGATCTCTATGGAAGTTGGGGAAGTGAGAAACGAAGAAATCTAACATGAAATGATTAGGACGACTTTATCTGGCTAGAGTATTTTTTTATCAAGGTTCTTTCATACAGGGTGGGATTGTTAACCTTATACCCAAACCTCCTCCCTTAGACGGGTTTAGGACTGGCAGTAACCCAAGAAAAGCCCCAGGCGGGATTCAACCTTTAGTGACTATTAGCAATTCGCCACCCAGTAATGAAAAACTATTCTGTGTGTTCAGAAACCACCCCCGACAGGAAAAACTACATTTAATATTATTTGTAGTACTTTTTCCAGCCTATTGGCTGTGTATTATGCATATTTTGTAGAAAAAAAGTACAATGTGCTTAGAAGCAGTTAACATAATTTGAGTGCAATCAAAACAAACAAAATTTTTGATCATGGGTTTTCTGTGGATATCGCTGCCTGTACTACCACTCAGCAACAAAAATGCATTCAACAAAAACTAGAAACTAGTAAAAAAACGTTTATCTATTGTTGAAATATAAAAACGTTTGAAAAGAGATCAAATTTTGTACACAGATCAAAAGTTAATACTGTCATCCTGTATGATGTTATCATGATTGTAAAAGTTACCCAGTTTAAAGTAACAAAATTAATATTAGTGAGGTCTTGGTGTGTACTGTTCAGTTGTTCGTGTTAAACACCCTGGTGATGTGTATTGCGAATACGTTTCAGAAGCCATACGATTTGAAGATACGGTTTCAACAGAGCTAGGAGGGAACTGATTGTATTGACCAGAAACATATTGTTGTGGTGGGATAGGTGAAGGGAATGAAGAATGGTGTCCAGATGTCACGCGGTAAACGTCAGTCGAAATAGTAGATTGTTGACGTCGATCGATACTAGGTGAACGGGTAGCTGTATTAGTATTGGAATTGTATGGTCTACTGCCGGTGTGATGGCAACTACGTCCTTCTTCATTTGATGGAAAAGATGGTATTTGTGGCAATGTATCTACATATCCTTGATTCGGATCACCAGCAGATGGTGATATACATGGATTAGACTGGACAGAATAAGGAGTAATCTCAGATTTTATAGCCGTTAATGGAAGAGGACTTTGTTTTGCAACTGTATTCAGAACTGAAGATGTAGTGCGATCCTGGTTATTATCACTTTTCTCAGCTGGAGGAACTGATGGCACATTCCCTGTAGCGAGTGCGCTGTTTGTTTGACTTTTTGTAGTCATAGCACGCAATTCAGCTTGTAAATGTCGGATAGCCTCAACTAGGGTTTGGGCTTCATGAGATACTTGATCCGGATCTGGGATGCCATAGTTCAAACTAGCTGAAGTGAAGCATTCAGGAGGAAGTCCAGCCCAAGCTTCCAAGTTGTTAAGATGGACTTCAACATCATTCATCTGAGAAAAGACATCTGCCAAATGACTTTGAAATCCATCAGCATCGTAGGAGAGTAAGCTATAAAAATATAATGAAACTTGTCAAAATATTTTAAACAAAAATCACTTTCTTAAAAGTTGATATTAAGATTAAGAATGAATTTTCCGTAAAACAGAAATTAGGATAGAAGGGTAAAAACACCACGCAGATCATACGTATAAAAAAATAAAACCGATCCAAGTAATTATCTTTATAGAAGACAACGTATATCCCAGCTTTCCTCATTAAGTTTACTAGCTAAATGACATCACTCCTGGGATTAATTATTATAAAATATTTAGTAAAACCACAAGTCTAGACTCCCAACCATTGTGCTAAACCTTAAAATTCACTTTACTGAATTTAGCCCTAACAGCTGTATATTGTAGTTAACCTTTACATGGCAATTATGTAATTAACCATAATAGGAAACTATTTTGCCAGAATCGTACTATATCGAACTCTAGAGACTATAAAGTGGAAATTTGATTAGGTATGCAAAAGAGGTGACGTATTTTGGTAAATGATAATGAAGCACCTACATTTATAGGTGATATTAAAGGATTTTTGAGGAATTTTTCATATGCTGTCATGAACGTGTCAAGATTTGTAGTACGAAAAAGTCATACATCAACAAAAAACGCAGCATTTTGCTCGTTGATGCAAGAGGGGCAAAAAATTGTGTGCTAACAACACAGTATGACGTAGATTATAGTAAACAGTTTAAGAAGTTTCATTTAATGGTTTTAAGTACACCATTTCAGTAAGTTCAAACCATAACTTGATATTCATTCCAATGAAAATATCCGAGTAAATTACAAATTTGTAGAACCTGAGCTCCAAGTTTAGGAAGACTTACAGATCTTTTTTAGCGTGATTTTATGCGATAAGCCTATCTGTAGCTAAACCATTCGCAAAAAATGATTTAATCAAGTGTCAGTGGACATTGTTGTTGCAAAATAAACATAAAAGTAACTTAATTAAAGCATATTCAAACAAATCGATACCTTGTACTGTCATCATAGTATACACTTTGTTTATCATTGTATGTTGTGAGTATTTCTAAAACAAACTTTGCTAGATAATTTTCAAGTTACCAAGTCAATGTCCTTGTACACTTTTATAGTTTCTTTTCTTTTTTCGAACACAAGGAATTCGGTAGGATATTTACACTTACCGATGAATCTACTTATTGGCTTATTAAAATCGTCAAATAAACTTTTGCACAACATAGGACACTCGATTCAAATAACTTCATCTGAAACTGTAACTTTCAACGTTCGATAACCACTTATTATGTGTACATATCTCAGTGTAAAATATTTGGTATAACGGATTGTCGAAAATATTTTTTCTCTCTCATGTGTACTACAATGACAAGTTAATATGACAACAAGACTAGTCACGTTATATCAGATCCAGGATTAACGACCCACAATAGAGAGCCAAAGTATAGACTAGATAATACCTTATTCAACACCATTACAAGCAGTCAGTCTTAATGAGTCTGGAGTAAAAATCATGACAGGAAAGGAAATCACATTTAACAATCAGTAGTATGTGCCTGTTTGTCCAAGTTCAGTGACCAATCATATTTTACTCTCAATATTAAAAAAATAGCAGGATGAGTTTAAGCATGGACACTTTCCTGTTGCTTACACTGTGAGAAGGCATTGGGGGGGCTGAAAATGAAACTTGGTTACGAGTGGCGGGAAGACCTGAGAGCGTGACTACAGAGCCTGGGGAACAGCTACTTAGGGCCAGTCATTCACGGCCTTTTTGTGAAAAGCTTTCGATGATTTAGGGCTCTTTCAAAAGATCTAGTGTCTGGAAATGGATATCAATGGTGTAAGATGAAGTGCAATAACTATGATCGGCCTTCTCTAGACACTTCCTTATGATGTGAGAAGGCATGGCCGCTTCGAATCCTGGTTTTTTGAGGGAAACACCTTATTGCTATCACATTCCTGTAGTCACCACTACGAATTGACCCTCGGATCTTAGGTTCCCGGTTTTAATCTTATCGTCCTCCAACCAACCTGCCCAGTATAGTAGAACCTAAAAAAATAAGCATTCCAAGCAGTATGACTCGGCCGGGCAGTCACAATAAGCAAGCCCGAAGACAACATCAAGGTAGCAGCTACGGTTGAGATACTCGAATGAGTCAAACAGAAAGTGTAAGACGATGGAAACTCTCTTGTTAAGGATAGTTTAGACTTGAAAAGCAAAGCAACTAGTATTGTGAACTACCTGTGAAATGACAGTTTATATGATTCAACAGAAACAGATGATAACAAAACTGGAATTCGGTCAGGTGTAACAAAAATGGAAATGACAATTTAGTATATTTAACTTAGAATTAGATTACTATGTTTTACTAGACTTCCAGTCAATCACTATCAGTGTAGAACTTGGCACGTATGCATCCGTTTTCTACCTACACTAGGAACGCACCATGGGAACCCAAGTATTACTTAGTATAGTGAATTATTTGGCAGTGTCCTCATTATACGATGGAACAGTATATTGGTACGACTACCTATAGGGATTTACACTGCATTTATCTAGCTAGATGAAGCTGAGTACTATGTTTGGATGAGCTTTCGAATAACCAGTGTATAACAGGGCAAAATAATCTAGAGAGCTTACATAAATTAACAGGATGATATACCGCAGCTTATTTTGTTTTGGTATGCTTTTTATGCATGAAATTCTGAATCGTTAGAATATGCTGATCATACTGAGTAAACTATTCATATTTTAAGGTTAAAATCACATTTATCTCATCAACATAAGGTCAAAGATTACCAAAAGTACAAACCTACTTTCCTAAATCACATTCCATTTTCTGCATAATGATTGAATGATATTGTTCTAATAGACTCTGTTGAGAAAAGTAAAATGGTGACATGACAATCGACCAACCAACTTACCATAACCTTTTCTTTAAGAATATTTAAAGAGTTGCAATAACGATCAACCATTGTCTCGGAGCCACGGTTTAAATTTTCACTTTGCGTATATCCAGACATTATAAGTATTTAAAAACAGCAGTAGGGTCTAGTTCAGAAAATTATACTGCTGTGTGGCATCAGGATTTAAAGTATTAGGCTAAAAATAATAAATGATAGTTATGTTAGCACCAAACTAACCAACTAAGTACTGGATGAAATACCTGCTGACGTAACTTCTGAGACAAAAGAAATGGGTGACTTGTGGTTGCATAATGCTAGGTTCAACAAGCATATAGCCATTAAACTAGTCGCCGTCGTTTGTGATGCACCTGCTCATTCAGATGTTAGATATACAGTGAATCCCAGCAGAAAAGTAGGCTGTGATAGGTGTGTACTAGTGGGACGTCACCTTGAAGGATGATTTTCAAAAGGTGAACTGATGACAATTTACATCAACAGGTTCAACCTATTCACCACTCCCTCTTGATTCAATGCCCTTGATATACTTAGGTGTGTTGGAGAAACCAACCAAACTACGGCTAAATTTTTCGTACAAAAGACTTAGAAACATGTACAAAACTATTGTCGCGGACATAAATAAATCAACCTCGTGTTGCATTGAATATATTCTTCCAAACATTCAGCGTAAAAATCATACATTAAACTTTATGTTTGTATGGAAAAAAATTCACTACCGCTGTACTTACTTTCGACAAGCTTAGCATTGATGAAATATCTATTAGCGCATCCTAAATTACACAGCAGCGAAATAGATTGAGCTAGATATGAGATGAATAGTGCTACGGACCCGAACACTTAGTTTATGCTGTACATTCGTCAAAGCATCTTGTTGATGACGCTAATTTGGATAGATCTTTAGATCGGCAATAAAACTTCCCATTCGACTCTTATAAGAGGCGGATTAAGAATGAGCATAGAGGTTATGCTAAAGTTAAGCAAACAGCTCAGCGCTATGTAGAAAATCTTTCTGTAGTAGGCTTTAAGCTAGCATCTCAGCAACTACTATAGACGCATCCGTCACGTCTGATTAAAAGAAACAAATAATTACGTTTAAGTGTACTACAGTCACTTTATTTAGGCCAGATAATGTAAGTGTATGGTAAACTGGGATTAATAACTGATGTAGGGTAAAACCAATTAATTAGATTTAGAGCTTTCATTGACTCGTTGGAATATTTGACGAAACCATTTCTTTCCAATGAGAGGTATAGTTATGTGCTCTATAGTTAGTCATGAACAAACATAGGTTTCTATTAGCAACTTATATTGAACGCGTATATCTGTTAATACATACGTTCATATGGATATATTTCTGTATTTCGTACTCATTATTTTGGACTTATTTTTAACCTTGATATATTATTTAGCGTACAACTGAACAGTTTGTACTCATCAATGCAACAAGAAAGAAGCAGGTTCTAATTACAGCAATCAAGTGGATTATCGAAGAGTTTTATATACTCTGGCAACTTCGTGGATATACACCTATAGAACGTTGTTCAACTAGATAATTGAGTGATTACGAAGTTTGAGGTCATCCACTACAGTAGTGAGTTACATATACAAAAACATTCATTCACTATAGACAATTAACAAACTGCGAAGGATGGTGGTTTTATTCAGAAAGTTGGCTGGCTACCGTTTTGATGGTTCCAATAACGAAAACGCTGCCAATAAATATGAGGAAGTCCAAGAGGTCAGTACAGTAATCCTATCGATAAAATTGGCTCAATCTTTTACAGAGGAGCATGAAAACGGAAACCAGGGCATTTCTATAGTCCTTGAATGTGATTGGTTCGTCCTTGAATCATAGTCTCGCCGTTTTATCAAGTCATGTGTTACGATACTTGAAGTGGTCAACCACTACTTGGTACTACATCAAAAGCACTTCGTTGGTGCACACCTTATGACAGAATATATGGTTGTTCACAAGTTATGATGTCTATTTTCGCGGTAGGCATATTTAAATATGTAATAGGACATATAAGATACTCAAGCCAGTATATGCATACTAAATCTCATCACCATTCGGATGATATAAAGGCATACACTCAAAGTTGCGCTCACGTACAAGGTCATAATACCAGACCATCCAATACGCGAAATCATTTGCAGCGGTAAATAAATCCCCAAAATAAATAGCTCTGTAAGTTTTCGACATCGGATGATGACTGCATGTTTAAATGGACTCACCTAGGTGAAGGCGCTCGGTCATGCATCCGCACCAGATCACGAGTGGTAACGCCGTGCTCAACAACCCCTGCAATCGCTAGCCAGATTAGATCAGACGATTCTCGATATATCGATAGCATATCAAATATATCTTCGAACTTCCTCGCTTCTGTCTTTTGATTTCACTTGGTGAGTACGCTTCATACAGGTGTTACTGGTTAAAGCGTTGTCAAACTCTGAGTACCTGTGGCATCTTCACATTCAAAAGGTTGTGAGTGGAAGAGAAGAAGCTTTCTTATGGCGTGCTACTGTATCCGGCAAAAGTGGATGACCGATAAAACCAGGTAAAAATCGAGGGATATTCAGGAGACAAAAGATAAATATTATTAAGTTGTAACGAAATATTATCCTGAATCAATAGTACTATATTATGTCTCTGCTTGAAAGACTCCTGAGAATTCTCTTGGAAGTTGTTCGAACCGTACATGTCACGAGCAGCTCCATAAACTGATTACCTTAGAATCGTTAAAATTATTCTGCAGTTAACGTTTGAAATGTTGAATCTCGCTAGATCCCACAGAAGAGTTATCCTTTTATCGTAATCATGGATTTCTCTCGAAAGGCAATAGTTTAGGAAGTCATCCATTTTGGAATGTCATTCATTTATATTAGAATGATTAATAGTTTTAATATCGAACCTAATATGTCTTCATGAGGACATCCTGTACTGTTGAAAAGCTCGAAATTCTCCTGAACTATATTTTCGATGATTTAGGTATGATTACAAGCAGTAGATAGACGGCAACGGAACTTCAGAATAAGAGTATAAGTGTAACTTGTGGTGGCACCCATAAAGTCGATTTTTCTAATTCGTATTGCTGCATGACCTCTTTTATATTCTGATTGATTTTCACAATCTCCATTGTAACAACTTTTCTATATGAATCAAGGTTATGTCGGTTATTATATGTATTAATGAGATAATTTCATTTGGAACTCATCTTCATTATATACAAACTCATCTCATACTCCACTGCTTTCGCTTCGGGTCTTATCATTGAAGATTAAAATGAAGAGTTGTGTCTTTTCTAGTTCTCAATAACTTTCGTTACTATTAAATTAATCTCCATCGTTCATAATGGTAATTGTTGTGGCACTGGTTCCTAACCCTCGACGTATGAAGTCGAACGTGTAACACTTGGAGGTCATTTACTCATTCGACCGGATGGCATGGCTGAGCTCTGCAGACGTAGCCATTCTTTATAACTTGTCTTTATTCACATTAAATATATTATGCTATCTCCAGCCCAAATGTGTCCTTCTGAAACATCAGACGTTATAATGCTCATTCTTACGACAGGAAGAGTCCATGTAGACAATGATGGAACTTCCATATAAGATCTCATAAATTGGGTAGTCACATGACAAATCCACAATTTTGGGATTAGTTTTATTATTATAGCAGTAATAATATCAAACTAGATCATATTTCTATACAAATACCTCACGTTTAACTGAAATTTATTCCTCAGTCATTTTTCATCCGTCTTCAGTCATGTTACTGAGACAAGACAGCTATCAACCAATCCTAAGAATATGATATTTGTTATTCATTGTAGAGCGTGTTGGTTGCGAGCTTGTGTAAGTATAGTCTTACTAGGTATTGGTACATTTATCTTCGATACTATAATAATAGACCTAATTCAAAAAGTGCAGATTTGTAATGATGTGACCATAATTCTACAAGTTGCATCGTTCGTTGAGGGCTCAAGCTATGAAGGTGATATATTGTTCTAAAAGGATCCAGGATGGAGATAACCTCAATACACCAATGTTTGTATGGCAGAATACTTTCTTAAGTTACAGCTCTTTATGGTCTAGAGGGATGTGACTAATCAGTGGTATTGATGCTGATTTCTTATGCTAAATACCTATTTGACTCATGTCTGTAACCTTGAACCGATCTCTATTCCTACCGATAAGTCCTATTACAAGCAAAACTGAGCAACTATGCTGTATTTTACCTACTAAATCTTAAGGATACATACAGTCCGCTCTTTTGAATTACATAAGTTTATACAATACCTTGTCCATTCAACGCCATACTTCGGTCTGCATTCTTTAGCATGTTGAAACATACCAACTGATCTGATAAATGAAAATAAGTCTAGGTGGTCATACCTTAATTATTCTGTCATAAATGGACGAACTTTGCCTATCATAAACACTGTCTGATCTGTTTTTCTCCCTTCCCTTTTTCCCTCTCTTTTTCAGCACCTACCACCGAAAACTTAAATGGAACATATGGCTTCGTCTCGTTCCGTCATTACTACTTTCGATATTCATCCGGGGACACAAAATGAAATACGTTGAAGTTGACGTTTTTGACTGATCGGTTGTGCACTAAACCCATCACTTTTCTGGACTTGACTTGCATTTTTCACGACCAGCAGTTGTTTGATGCAACGCAACATTCATGAGGCGTTAAAACATTGAATTTCTACTAACGTTAATATTCTAATGTGGAAAAATGTATCCCTTGTTTCTATGACAAACGTGCGTTATAACATATCAACCTAGTCGAGTAACTTACTAAAGTAAGGCTTGTAGCAATTTGTAACAATTTAATCTTGCCTGTAAAATGAAATGTCTCATGTAACACGTTGTTATTTAAGGATATATTATTATTATAGTCCATGTCTGTTGTTGTTTTCCAGAATGTGCAACAAAAAACGTCACGCTTGCTGTTTAATTTCCTTTAACATTGGCTCATGTAGCATCAAAATAAGGAGTTTAATTTCTATACATTCCCATAAATCGCCGAGTTGGCCTTGAAAATGGACTAGTCTCTAAGTTTACATTCCACAGTGCTATTATTTTGGTGATATTAGGGATGAATAGACAGTAATATGTATATTCATGGATTAGTTCTCTTTGCTAACAATAAAAGTTTGATTCATAGAGCATATAGTCATGACACTCATTTGTCCTACTTAATCCAAGTCTTTCGATGTCCGTTATTTTTCGCTTATTCCCTTGTTGCGTCGTATTTAACCTATCTCTTTTTTCGTTTGTTTGCTACTTTATTCATTGCGACCTGTTTCTTTTCAGTTCACTTAATCTCAATAGTTTCCTCCTCACAACTTTTAACATACTCAACAAAACTACTATCCAGTTATGGTACATCTTCTGATCTCGATAAGCTTACTTCTGTGAGAAAAATTCAATCACTTACTCTCTAGACCCAGAAATCTCTGGATAACTGTCGATGTCATCGAAACAGTTTTAACCCAAGGGGTAAATAAAGCTTACTGAATGCTATAAAAGACCTCATACTTTTCACTGACTTCATGATGCTAGTGAGAACAGATCAATCAATTTACACTAGTGTATTTCACTTTATCATACGCTGGCAGCAATGACCAGATTTTCTTGATTTGTCTTGATTTCAACCCCATATCGAGCTTGGAAACATAGCGTTTCCTCCCTAACCCCAAGAGAATAAGAGCACATTTGGATACGAGTCACCAAGTTAGTCCCGTGACTTAAATCCAGGCCCTATGAAGAGCGCCTTAAATCATTGAAACCTTACTCATTGTAATATAGGCATCGCAAAGGTGAACTTCTGATGAACTATATTATCTTAAATATTCATGGGTATCTCCTTAAATAACTTGTAGTGCCGGTTATTGTGTTAAGCTCATATACCTTATTCTAGGTTTCGGACAGACCATTTCATTCATTCTACTTGAGTCACATTCTGACCTTGTTATTAATTCACTTATCAATCTTGACTGTTTTTATATGAGCGCGTAGGTGTGTGTACATTTCTTATCCGATTACTCATCACATGTCTGTAACTTACTTTTGTGTAACTATGAATATTGATTAACGTTTGGTTAAATGGGGAGATGGCTTACCTGCCATCTCCGTTATTGACTAACGTGATTTAAGTCGACGATTATATACGAGGATAGGCGATAACAAACATTCATACGATCTAATTGGAGTCATATCCACGGGCCACTACAAACTACATAAGCTAATCCCCAACACAAACCTTAGGAGTACCACTCATAAATTGGAGACATAACGTAGCAGAGTTGACCGTAGGGACACTTTTGACTCTTTGCAAATAGTCCAATCCCAGAATTCACCGTCGAGTGAGGTAGTTCTTAGCCGGAGTCCTTTAAGTGGAGACTTAACACATTTTTTCAGGAGTAAGAGAAGCATAGTACTATTGTCTACTTATATTTTTCTCTTTTATCGTTAACTATACCTAGGTTTCTATCCGGGAGCATCGGTGATCTACTGCTGCTAGATACGGAAGCTCATTAAGCGAAAGCTTCTATTCCGTTCAGAAAAATTTAAAACAACTAGAATTATGATTAGTTGTTACCAAGGGGTTAAATATTCCGTGTATACTCAGAGTTGTCCATCCGTTTTTACTTATTTCCCTCTTTCACCAGACTTAAGCAAACACTTCAAAGTGTTGTCCAGACTGGTGCTTTTAAATGCAATTCAATTTCGTAAATGTGGCATTCAGCTTAGCAACCAATCAGAATGAGGTGGGAATTATTATATCCTCCATCTTTGTAAGCATTGGCGGTTGGCTTTTTTCGTTCCGTGCTTTTTTCAGCTATTTCTTTCGTGTAGCTACAGAATTTAATGTTTCAGTGTGCTAAAATGCAGAAGTTAATGTAATACTTTGAATGTTGGAGGAAAATTTTTCCTCATTTTGCTCTGTTTGCTGGGTTTTGGTTGCTGCTACTGAGGTCAGTGTATTTCTTTAGCCAAGCTGGCTAGTCTTATCGGTTCTGTTTTGACTTGTTTTCTAAATATCCAAAGCCGAAGCTCGTTTTTTTTAGCTAGAACAATTGTTGCTGCCACCTGTGACTAACTGCCCGCATGTTTGTTCTTAACTGTCCTTTATGGTGTTATCGGCAAAATGAAAGGAAACAATCTCCGGTTTTCAATTTTCCTCAGTACTATGGACAACACTATCCCACCAACGAGTCAAACTAATACCGAGTGCCAAGCAGTAGGGGATATTAGTATTGTTTTCAAAAGGACCCAGACTTCCGACAACCATAGACGAAGTCACAGATGCTACCACTCTATTGCAGAGGGTTTGTTATAAAAAATATGCCATATAGCAGTAACAGAGGGGTTCTATTCACTACGTCGTGTGTTAAAGCAAGCTTAACATTACAAAGCCGGAAATCTACTATCAGTGTGTACTGTCTGTTTGCTGTTTTAGCCATAAAAGGAAGCCGAAGGGTCATGATCAGGGAGCAAAACGATAATTAACTGTCATTAAGCTCACTTTTTTATAAATCATATTTCACCACTCGCAAATTTGTGTTTTTTTACGGCATGATGTCAACCGGTACCTAATATGTTCACCCTTACGATGAAAAGTATCTGCGAATTCTCACCTTTATATTCGAATTATTTTTGGACAACTGTCTTCCAGTTTGAGTGCTTCGTACGCGCTGGGAGACTAGATTACTACATTATTCGTAGTTCCAGTATAAATTTCTCACGCAGAAAGTTCAAAGTAGACAATAGTCTTTCTAAATAAGCCTGTTAAGCTAATATCCGTACTCTCTATTTCAGTTGATCGACGAAGACATTTACCACGTGCACTTGCTGTATACTGCCATTTTACTCCAATTGTAACTGTTAGATCTTACTTCAGAAAAATAAAATTGCTATATGCAGCAAATACAGACTTATTTGTTTTGATGGAGGTAGTGGGGTTCATGGGATTTTTAGCAGAACTGTAGTAATATTCTCACTAAAGAGCTAAGCTAGTGCGTAGATCAATGTAAGGCACCATACAGGTTGCCATTGAGTTACTAGTGTTTCATTAGTGCGGGTAGGGGCATTGCTTGCTTATCATATGGCATTTGAATAAGGAGCTATGAGATTAGACGCAGGTACGGTTAGGATGTGTACCGCGTATCCATCCATCAGCTGCCGTGAAAAATCATGGTGGTCAGAATAAGTTATGAGAGGACTCGAGTCTGTAGGTTTCCCAAGAAAATGAAGAGGATATGTACTAAATCACTTAAATTTATTACATATCAACTAGGTGCTGCGAGGTTCGTGTATCGCAAGTTTCTTGCGACGATTAAGTAGGTAAAACAAAGTAGCATTAGATTTAAAAATTTATTCAGGAACTTTCATTAAGAATCGAATATCAAACAAAAGTTTAAACGAAGTTCTCGTTTAAAAGTTTCATTGGTAATGTTAAGCTTCAGTCTTTGTTGTTTTTTTCCGAATGAAAGGGTAAAAGAAGTAACTCAAAAAGTACTGGAAGTGGTTCTGAGACTAAAATGGAAGTTCAGCATCATTTTTATAATCTGCTGTTAATTGGGTCTCCCGTAAAGCTTCATAGGGCCATAGTTCTAGGGGCGAAACAGTTCTTAGTATCTGTGAAGACTCACTCCTGTTGCATTCTAAATGGAAAAATAGTAATAAATTTAGTCAGAAATGTGGAATAGACAAATAACCAAATTACATGTTTTCTAGCAAAGAATTTATGCAGTTGTGATTTACCTTGAGTTCATGAATATTAGATCAGGTCAGCTATTATTACTTGTGCAAAGCATCACATAGGCTTAGTGCCGTATCGCAATGCTTTTATTATTTTGCTCCCATTTAAGTATTCCCATGCATCTGCATCTAATTTAACAGGAATACATAAAAGCAGAGTTAGTGTCTGATAAACTAAAAGTCCCAGTTGTCAAAAAGATTCTTAACATTTATCCACAGCCAGTTACATTTAATTGAGACACAGAACACTCATCTTCTGAGACTGTATACTGCTGTTTTGGGGGCAACTAAAAGCTCAGACGCTTATCTATCCTGCTACCGATGTTATTGCTGGAGAAATTGTTTAATGACAGTGATCTTGAAATATGGTCAATGATCGATGTACAGTCTATAAATAACCACCAAACATACTTATCGCTATCTTATAATGTATGACAGCAACAGCATCAAAGGCACTTTTTTTCTTATTTTTAATCAGACTGATCTGAATCAGTATACTCATTAGAAACGGGCAACTCTACTTACTATACTGATCTGTTTCGTTACAGGCTTCAAGGACTGTTCTTAAGTATACCATTGAAGATGACACAGGTATTCAGTGTTTGACAACGCTTTTACCAGCAACACCTTCTAATATAATTCGTACCTACCAAGAGAAATCAAAAGACAGAGTCAAGGAGATCGGAAGAGTTTATTTGGCGATTGCCAATATATCGGAATTCTCTAATCTAATCTGGCTAGCGATTGCGGTAGATGTTGAGCACAGCGTTACCACACGTGATCTGGTGCGGATGCATGACCGAGCGCCCAGATGAGTCCACTAAAACATATGGTCAGCATCCAATGTCGAAAACTTACAGAGCTATTTATTTTGGGGATTTATTTACCGCTACACCATAATTCTTTCAACTAAACTGAATTATACGACAATCAAGAATGCTTAACTGAGCAAGTGTCATAATTATTGTTTCATTTGCACAGACATGTTGCTCAAAGTAGTTAAATGGACAAAATTCAGTCTATAAAATTAATACACGAAATATAAGCTAGTCGAACTTACGTAACAGAAGACGAATGATACATATATATTGTTTTCAGACTGAAGACAACAGTCAGTTGTTCATAAAAACATAGTTTACAGTACAAAAAACATTTTTCAGTAACATCATGCACTGA